TGTCACCTATGGCAGGGTTGGGCTGGAGGCAGTGACACTAAGAAGCACTGTTGAAGGTCACAGAACAGGGATACAGGCTCACTAAACAACTGAGACCTAATCATTGGACTTCAGAATGCTTCACTTCCCCTCACAACTTACCACCACATCAATAGGCTTCTGTATAAGAACAGGGGAACACTATTGAAAGAGCTGCATGTCTCAGACTTTATTTAAGGAGAAGTCTCTAAGGAAATCCAAAGACAATAAGGAAAACAAAAACAAGAACACTAGATAAAATTTTTAGTCTCAAACATTTACAGCTATAGCAAATGATAAACATAGTTGAACCCCTAGCTGAATAAACATAAAAGCTCACATTATACACATTCCTTCCTTTTACACAGTAAATCATGTTTGACTTTCAACAAAAAAATTACAAGGTATCCTGAAAGGCAAAAAAACACAATTTGAAAACAAGAACAAGCATCAGAACCAAACCAATATATGACAGAAATATTGGATTTACCAGACTGGGAATTTAAAACAATATGATTAAGAGTATAAAAGCTCTAATGGAAAAAATAGACAATATGCAACAAAAAGATAAATGATGTAGGCAGAGAGATGGAAATTCTATAAAAGAATCAAAAAGTAATGCTAGAGATCAAAAACACTGTAATAGAATTAAAGAATGTCTTTGATAGTATCATTAGTTGACTGGACACAGCTGAGGAAAGAATCTCTGAGTGAGCTTGAAGATCTGTTAATAGAAATTCAAAAACCGAAAAGCAAAGAGAAAAATAGTGAAAAAATAGAATACTCAAGAACTGTGGGGAAACTACAAAAGGTGTAATATATGTGTATTGGGAATACAAGAAGAAGAAAAAGAAAGAAAAAAACTAAACCTAGGTATGTTTTATTCAAACTGCATAAAATCAAATAAAAAGAAAACATATTGAAAGTAACCAGAGGAAAAATACACTTTACAAAGGAGCAAAGATAAAAATTACATCTATCGTCTCAGAAACTTTGCAAGCAAGAGTGGAGTGAAATATTTAAAGTGTCGAGACAAAAAAAAAAAAATCACCAACCTAGAATTCTATATTAGGTGAAATTATTCTTCAGTATGAAGGAGAAGTAAAGACATTATAAAAATTGAAGGAATTTATTTCCATTAGACCTGCTTTGCATGAAAACAAAAGTTCTTCAGAAAGAAGG